AGTGACCCTACAAAGTAATGAATAGTTGTTTATCATTCATTTCTTTTAGATCTAAGAAAAGACACAAGGAAGAGTTCCTATGAAGTCCTACTTAACAGCAACATTGTGCCTATGTATCATGAGTTTAAAGGTAATTATGTACATTTATTTACACGCAAAAGCATTGCTGATTTGCTTGTTTCCAAATCATTGCAAAAGAGTCCAGGCTCAGCTGTCTCTGTAAATTAAGTCACAGCCAAGATAATTGGTAACAATTGGGTCAGACTGTGAACTCCTTGCTTACATGGACGAGAAGTTACTCATTTGAGTAGTTTCACTAAAGTCAGTGGAATTGCTCATGTGAATAACTGCTCGCCACAGTGAGTTTGGGGTTCCCAGTCTCTGGTCCCATGTGAACAAAGGTCCAGAACTCATTTCTTAATTTAACATTTTACAATGTTTTGTTGCTTATTTTTCCTCCTGTCTGAATTTCACCTGTGTGTATTTTGGGCAGAGTGTCTTTAATGGACATGGATAAAGTTAAATAATTGACACCAGTTCCCAGTTTAGGAATGCTTTCTAGGCTCAAAGATGGTCTTGTACTTGAGTTTCTTATCTGAAATCTAGTCTGCTGTAGTAATAAGGGCAACAATCTCACATCTAGCAGAGAAGGGATGTGCAAGCTAGACATGCATGAGTGAGATGGAGCATGAGGTGCATGTAGGGCACAAGGGGATTGAGTTGGTATCTGAGAAACTAGGTACAGAACTACTCCCCCTGCTAAGCAGGTCTGCCTCAGCTTAATACAGTTATATTTCACATGGGGAACATAAGATGGCTCACTCTTAACCGGGACATCAGTCTCTCAGAGGTATGGGGAGAACTTTGGAGACTAACAATAAACACCTCTTTTCTTCTATCTTCATCATAGCTGCCTGTATACTGATAAATACATAGTGCAATTATTTTCAAAAATTCTCCCCCTGACATAACCTTTTTCACTACCATATTGTATTCCAGTGTTATGGAATTATTTCTATGATGTTCTGCTGCCAAAATACACTCTGGAAAGAAATGGTGTCAATGTAGTCAGTGGCCCCGTGTTCGATTATGACTCCAATGGGCTGTACGATACTCCAGAAAAAGTGAAGAGGTGGGAATTTTTTCCTTTCTAATGCTGATTTTTTTTCTTTCCTTTTTTATCATTTCATAATAATTATGACACTAGTTGCCAAAAAAATTATCTCCCAAGAGGAGCTCTTGGATACAGGATCATCAGCTAATGTGTAGCCAGTCACATAGCTCAAAACACATCACTTTAAAGCTAATAGCCCAACAAAAGAGAAGGTAAAAGGAAAAAAACACCCCAGAAGTATGGAATCACAAACCCTGTATGTTAGGTCCACCTGGGAGTTGTGGCAGCTGTACGAATGGGGTTTTACCTAGAACTCCATGAGACTGTTTCCAGTACTGGAGGAAACAGGAACAAATGAAGGAGCCCTTTGTCCTTGGTAGTCTGATTCCTTCCTGATTCAGAGTAACTGGCTAGGTTCTATTGATAGACTTCTCTGTAAAAATTTGCTATTTTCTTATAGTTGGCAAGATTGGTTCAAAATAACAGATGAGCTGGGCATTCCTTTAACTGAGCCAGAGCTCTGAACTTTGCCAATAATCTACTTTAGATTCTCACCTATTTTTATGACAAATCATGGTTTCCCCTTTTTGAGACCATCACTAGACCTACTCTTTAGACCACAAGCCAGCCAAACTCGGCTTGTGTGACAGCAGTCTAGAATGCCCTTCAAAGCTGAGAGTATTCTACTGGCATATTCTAGTGCTAAGCTTCTGAAGGTTTCCCTTGGGCCAAGGAGGTTAATAAAACCTGTTTGCTAAAGTACACCAGGTGTCATTGTGCCTTTGCACTACATTAATTTGATAGTTTTAGAGGAAGTAGATCTAAAACACCACCTCTTTGCATTTCAGATTAACCCGTGACCCAGAAGTTCTGGTTCCAACTCACTATTTCATTGTGCTGACGAGTTGTAAAAATATTTCCCAGACCCCACTGCAGTGTGAAGGGGCTCTAGATGCCTTATCTTTCATTGTACCTCACAGGCCAGACAACAATGAAAGCTGTACAGTAAGTAGCCTTTGTTTAGCACCATGTATATATCTGAAGCCAGGCCTGACTCACACTGCAGACAGAGCAGTGATGAATTAGTTAATGGCTGTAAAGTCCTTTGAGGTATTTTATAATAATGTCCTAGAGTGAGATTAAACAATTTCATTTACAAAGGTGGGTTTATAGAAGTGTGGTATATCTATTTACGTGTGAAAGTAGCTATGTTGTGTGCTTTGCTCTTTTGAACAGTAAAGAGTGTCTGGGTTACAGCTGGTGGGTTTGAAACACAATAGAGTGAGAGAATCTTATTATGACACTTCAGCAGAGACATCTATAGTATCAGCACCAAATCACAGTAGTTGACACACAAATCCATTACTGTTGACATGATTACCTCCTCTGCCACTGGATTTCACATTTTTATAACTCAGTAGGTTAAAATCAGTTGCATTTTGAGTTTACGAGGTCACTTTGCTAAATTAATACTGCCTGTTATACAAGACAGCCAACTTTAATTTTAATTTTTAATATTTGATAATGGGCTCTTCAGTCTGGCAGAGAAAGGCATAATGATCCAATGGCTGGAAGTTGAAGCTAGACAAATACAGACTGGAAATAAGGCATAAATTTTTAACTGAGAGTAAATAACCATTGGAATAATGTACCAAGGATTGTGGTGGATTCTCTATCATTAACAACTTTTAAATCAAGATTGGATGTTTTTCTAAAAGATCTGCTCAAGGAATTATTTGGGGGAAGTCCTATGGTCTTTGTTATGCAGGAGGTCAGACTAGATGATCACAATGGTCCCTTCTGGCCTTGGAATCTATGAAACTGTGAAAACAAGATCAGGTGCTATGTTTAGCTATATTTGTAAATGCTTGATATCCACTGATCTTTTCAACTTCTTGGTTAGGTTGTGTGAAAATTTGTTGCCTTAACTTCTACAAAACAGCCTTCCACTAGCATATTGTATGTGTAATCCTTGGAACAGAATTCTGCAGAATATCCCTAATTTTTCTCTTGTTTCTCTATCCCAACAGAGACACAAACGTGACTTTTTGTGGGTTGAAGAGCGAATGAGGTTTCATACAGCCCGGGTCAGAGATGTAGAACTTCTCACTGGACTCAGCTTCTACCAAGACAGAAAACAGCCAGTGTCTGATATTTTACAGTTAAAAACATATTTACCAACTTTTCCCATGGAGTGAAATTCACAACTCATTTTGTAAATACACTATTTTATCTACAGGAAAAAAGTCTTTAAATGAGCTGGAACACTTACTGAGAGCCGTTGACCATATTGAGAATTGGAAAGAATCTGTGCCACATTCGTATCTCAGGGATATTTGATGGACTAAGTATAACACAGAAAGACCTCTCCTGTTGGTCTTACTCCCACTTGAATGCGGTAGAATTGTGTCTGTTATTAAAGCCAATCTGCCAGCATTTGAACTTTATATACAGAAACACTGAGGATAAAATTATAATGGCACCTTCTAAATCTTTTTAATTACATTGGAGTGGAAGAAGTTTATAAGGGAGGGATTATTATCAATATTTTGATAAAAATAGAGACAATTGGCAAGTATGTTAAAGTCCTGGAAAGCCATTAAAATCCTGATTAATGTAGCATACACAGTGGTTCCTTTTCATTCTGGCTTCTAAGGGGGGGCAGAACGTCTAGTGAATTAGACATTGAGCATTGTTCTATTAAAATATCATTCAATATACTGCATAAAGCTATATTGCATGTGTTATGGCATCCACCCCAAAGTGGGTCATCAGTAGAGGAAGAGTGTAAGACTTTCAGCACCATGGCACAGGCCTCTAGCTAAAGCAATATCTTTTTTAACTGGTAGCAGTAGTAGGTTATTATCCTGTAGTAAACCAGGAACTAAAGAGAAATGTGCAGTTACACACGCGTTCTGTGACTATGTCGGATGTGGTGCTTCAGAGTACTTGTATAATAAGAAATGAATCAAATAGAATCTAAGAACAGTTTTGGAGAATTATCTCACTCCAGATGAACCTAGATTTGATTAATACATTTTGTTTCTTAAAGGTTCAAGGTGGTTTTTAGAGTTGGTGGAATAAATTTGTCATTTTAAGGAAAACTGACATTTTTGGGGGGAAATGCCATTGCCCAGAGGACCATTGCTTTCATTTTCATTAAGAGTGAAAGATGATCTTCCCCCCCACTAACATTCAAGGCTGATTTTTTTTTCCTGAACCCCTTTTCAGCACAGTACGTCCCTAGAGAGGCACCAACTGACTAGATCCCATCTGCATTTCCAGCTGTGTCCTTATTCCCCAATTTACCTAAATTGCTGTTCACTTACCTTGCATGCAGATACAAAGCCAGATGCAAAGCCACCAAGGGCAGCCAGCCAGCTGTCTTGGAAGCTGTAGTACTGCACAACCAGCTACTGGTGATGCAATATGCCATCACTTCCATAATATTCCCACTTGGTCTCCTTTGGTCTATAAAGACTAGACTCTCTACATAGGATTTCTTTTATAATCAGTGATATATTTCTACTTTTTTAAAACCACAAACTACATTAAAAGAATGTAGAGTCTGTGGCAGAGCACTAGAGAGAGAGAGATTTATGCTCTTGTTTAGCCTAGGAATGTAGGAGCTTGATCCAAACCCCATTAAAGTCAATGGAAGCTTTTCCAGTGACTTCAGTAGAACTGGATCAGGCCCCTAGACTTTCTCCTTTCACTGGGTATATTTTCTCGAGCTCTTCTGTCACAAGCATAACATTCTCCTAAAGTAGTTTCACTGTGTGAAGTGCAAGTGTGTTGCAGCAACATTGCATCATGACATTGCAGCATTATTTAGTGTAACGGCTTTGTAACATCAACTTTGACAAATAAAAAGCATAAGCTGTTGCAGTTTGTTTCCTTTTTTATGCCAGATACCTTGGTCAGTCAAATACAAATGCCAATATATGGATCTCCTTCTTAACAGGGTCAGATTACAGCAGAGTCTAAGAGTCCATTAAAAAACGGTTTCTAGCCTTTATGGGGCATATCCACGGTAGGATAAAATTTACCTTTTATCCTAGTATAGACACTTTTATGATCAAGAATTTCTCCATAACCACATAACCAAAGTATAAACAAGACTGTTTCTCTTCAGCGCCTACCTGTAGTTTATCAACTTCTATCCGCTTCTCTTTACTAGAACATACCAAATCCCTATTAATAGATCTTCCCCTAAGGGATGTCTCTGAACTGTGGGATCCTCCACACCTGTCAGCTTTCCTGCAGCTCTTGGGGTGGAGACGAGAGAGGAGGCTGGATTGGGAATCTGAAGAGGGAGAGGAGACTGGAACTGGTTGGGCAAGGAGACTGTGAACCAGATTGGAGGGGGTCTGAGACTGGGAGATGGTGGGAGAAATGGGGTGGGAGGACCAGAAGTCAGTTGTCTGGGGAGGAACACTGAGATCGGACAAAGAGCTGTGGAGTGGGAGAGATTGGGACTAGGTGTAGGAGGGGAAAGGAACTGGGAGTGGGTAGGGGATTGGGATTCAGCGAGCCTCTTGGGGGAGTCTAGAACTGACTGGGTGAAGAGATGGGGACTAGGCTGAGAAGCCTGAGGAACATAAACTCGGACTGGGCAAGTAGCTATGCTGGGGAAGAGACAGGACTAGGACAGGTTGGAGTGGCAAATGGGGGTCAAGTTTGGGAGGAGGGAATGGACTAAAGAATCTATCCACTAGAGCAGGGGCTCTCAAACTCTGAGGCTCCCCCAACATGCAATAAAAACTCCACGGCTCACCTGTGCCACAACTGTTTTTCTGTATATAAAAGCCAGGGCCGGCATTAGGGAGTAGCAAGCAGGGCAATTGCCTGGGGCCCCACACCACAGGAGGCACCATGAAGCTAAGTTGCTCAGGCTTTGGCTTCAGCCCTGGGTGGTGGGGGTCAGAGCCCCGGTCTGTAGTCCCGCGAGGTGGGGCTTTGGATTTCTGCCCTGGGCCCTAGAGACTAGAATTCTTGGTGACCCTCCTGAAACCTGCTCATGGCCCCACAAGGGGCCCCAGACTCCTGGTTGAGAACCACTGCACTAGAGGACACACTCCTTTAGAGACTGAAATGGAACCCAGGATTTCTGAATCTCACCATACCTCTGAAATCAATAAATATCTGTGAAACCTTCAGGTGAATTGTGTGTCATCCCTCTCCAGTGCAGGTCCACACAGAGCAGTGGTGGGCAACCTGCGGCCTGCGGGCTGCATGCAGCCTGTCAGGGCTAGCCGCCAGATCATTTACATTTGCACAGCCGCCCACAGCTCCCAATGGCTGCAGTTTGCTGTTCCTGGCCAATGTGAGCTGTGGGAAATTCATCTAAATAAACACATGGGGTGAGATTTTCAAAGAAAATGCCTAGTGGATTTGGACACCCAGCTTCAATAGATTTGTAATAGGAATGGTCAACCCAGCCCCTGTAGGTGGCTTTGAATGTTCCACCTTTAAAACAGAGCAGACATTAGCAAGAGGTTGCTTCCTAAAAGGGTCATATTACCCAAGGCCTGTTTAGCACTCAGACCCTTCAACTTCATACAGGAGCTATGAGCTAATGAGGGAACATAAATTATCAATACAGGGAATTGTTTTATTTGACAATTTAATATGGCAACTTTAGTGGCTAACTTTTCTATTGTGGTTGTTTTAATAATATATATCACATTGGACCCTGAGGAAAAAAATATGTGATAAAACTAAACAGCTCCCAACAGAATGTGAACATCCTACTTTTGAATGTTAATGCCAAGTGCTTTAGCAACCAGACTGAAATATGTTAGCTAACAGACTTTGACAATCTTGGTTAACAGAGTTATACTTTTCATCTGTGAATGCCAGGAACCACTGTCAATAGTATGGAAAAATACAAATTGTATTAAAATTCTTTAAAACTCGAATAAATGTAATGGATTGTCAAGATCACCATGGATCTAACATTTCATGACAACAAAGTTTGGAAGACAAAGTTTGCAGTTTGTCTGTAAATTTCTCCCGCAATAGGGCACAAATTACCATAAATGTAATCCCTTTTGTGACTGTGAAGTTGGCCCACAAGAGCTGCAGAACTGTGCTCCAGAATTGTAGCTTTCTTTTAAAAAAGAGTTTCAAGTCCTTATGATTACGAAGAGAACCTGCCCAATGTGATCTGGATGTAAATAACACAGCAATATCGTCCGAAGTCTGCACATAGCCAGAAATATTAACCGTAAGTCTTAATTGTACTCTTTTATCTTAGTGGGCCATTAACCCTGAAACCTACAGATGACAGTTTAAAATGCCATTGTCTTTTTCATTGGTGATTGTTTTAGCAGAAACTAGCATGACTGGCTTCCTGAGGATGCCTCTGACCTAAGGGGGAATCCCTAGGTACTTCAACAGATTGCTAAAATAATGCACTACATTTCCCATCATGCTTCAATTCCTGGGTCAAAGTTCAAGAACCACAGAGTTCTTCTCCAGATACATAAAGTTCACTTTGCTGCTGTTTTTCCTTCCATGTAGGATGCTCTAGGGGCAAAGATAAGGTGAGTAAAACGGTTCCTAGATTTATCTTGTGATGTAAAATATAAACAGTTTAAAATTAACAGAATAAGAAAAGTGCCTTCTTGAAACAAAGGGCATTCATGGTTTGCTTACACAGTACTGGTAACATCAAGATTTTTTTGAATCTCCTTTCTGAATCTACATATCTATGTAGTCATCCACTACCATCAAACAGTATGTTATCATTTCAGGGCTTAAACTCTACCTTAAATGCATGCAGACAAATGTGGTCCGCTCCACTAAGCGCTTGTAGTGGAGCTTCATTTATCATGTAACTAGAACGGGGCAAATAATGGATTTTTTTGCTTCACTGGCTAAGCCAAAAAACAAACAAACAAAATAGGGTCAAATGAAATGTTTCATTCTTCTTCGAGTGCTGTCCCTGTGGGTGCTCCACTCTAGGTGACAGTGCGTCCCAGCACCGTTGATTGGAGATTTTCGGTAGCAGTGCCTGGTTGGGACGCACGCGCTCAGCTGTTGTCTCGCAGCATCATTAGAGTCTGCCTTGAGTGCACGCGTCCCGCATCCCCCAAGTTCCTTCTCAATCATCCTCGGCTGAAGACAGGACTCGGGGCAGTGCTCATCTCTTCCCTGGTTACTGTAGGAAATAAGTAGAGAAAAATAGAAATAGTTGGCTAGACATTTCCCAGTTCTCCCTTTCCTTTAGCATAGTTTGTTCATTTAAAAAAAAAAATCCCTAAAGTTAGTCTCTCATTGAGACTTCCCCGGCTGCTCATACTTTTGTGATACCAGGTCTCCAGGCTTTAAGAAATGTGGCTCCTGCAAGGAGTCTATGCCGCGTTCTGACAGGCACTCACTCTGCGTCAAATGCCTCGGCGAGACACACATCCCTGCAAAATGTCTCCATTGTACCATCTTAAAAACTAGAGCTCATCATGGCAGAGACTTGCAGCTAAAAATGCTTCTCATGGAGAAAGCTCTGCAGTTGCGTACGGAGAAGAGCAGTAAAGCCTCTCCCTCATGCTCCCATGCCAAGTCAGAACTGACCAGGAGCGCGGCTTCACCCTCTCACACGAAGAGGCAGGAAGCCCTAAGGTCTCCTCTCAGAGACACTCAAAAGGGTAAAGAATCTCCTGCAAGGTCTTTACCTTTGGTGCTGACAGCACCGAGAGCAGGTACCTCTGACCACCTCAGCAGCGGCTCACGCGGGATGCAAAGGCAGGGACCCAACTTCCCGCAGCGGGAAGCTCTCCTCGGCACCGGTCTCACTGGCACCGATGATGGACCTGGTACAGGCAGCACATCCCACCCCGGTACTGACAAGAACATCGGCCCCAAGCCTTCCCGCCACCCCCAGAGCAGATTCGGAACCTCTGCGGGGCTCTTACAAATGTTTCGCAGCTCCTGCTGAAACCAAACAAAAATCACTCTGGGCTGCCGCTCACACTCCATGCTCTGCAGCACACAAGCCTAGGGAGCAGCAACAATTTCTGCACCAGGAGGATATCTCTGTGGCCCCTGAGCCTGACTCTCTGCTCCTAGACACGGAGCGCTCACTGTTTGAACAGCAGCTCTCGCCATCTGACCTGGCTACTTTCACTGACAGTGAAAATGACATACAGCAGCAGGCAGAGTTCTCCCCACCTGAGTCTCCCCCTCCACCGGAGCCGTACATATACCAAGACACAGCCTCAGTTTCCCACTTTGTCCCCCAGTGGGTGGGACCCCACTTTTCCTACCCGGTACCCTGGCCTCAGTGGTACCCGTGGTCGGCTCCTGCCACCGCTCCTCCTTGAGCCCCTTCTACCAGATCACAAGCTCATCCTACGCCTATATCCCGAGGTCCATCGACATCTAGAGCTCCTGAATCCCCTCTTGAAGAGGTGGGCTATGAACCCTTCCCGGATTTACCAGCTCCTGCCTCGCCAACAGCTGCAGAGAACGCCCTCATGCCTCCACCTTTACAGAACATGGACGACTTTAAGCAATTCTAGGAACTTTTCGAGAGAGTGGCACTCAGCCAGGACATCCCTTTGGAGGAAGTCCAGGTGACACAACATAAACTCCTCAAAATCCTCCAACCCTCTGCACCCTCAAAGATTGCACTACCCATAAATGAGGCCCTCATAGAACCAGCTGATACTCTCTGGCAGACCCCTGTCTCCATCCCACCAACATGCAAGAAAACTGAAGGTAAATACTATGTGCCTACGAAGGACATCGATTTCTTTTTTCCCACCCAGAACCCAATTCTCTTGTGGTGAATGCAGCGACGCACAGAACAAAGCAGCCACAATACTGGCCCACTCTGCAAGACAAGGACCTCAAACACCTTGACGACCTGGGCCACAAGGTTTATACCTCTTCCACTCTACAATTTAGAATTGCAAATTCCACCCTCCTTGCAAGCTATGACTATGACAACTACAACAAGCTCTTTGATTTTGCCTCCCATATCCCGGAGGACAGGAGAGCGGACTTTAAGTGAGTCCTCGTCAAAGGATAATTGGTGTCTAGGACAGCACTACAAGCGTTCATGGACATGGCAGACACAGCAGCCCGCACCACTGCCACTGCAGCAGTGATGCGCAGGTCTTCCTGGCTGTCTGCATCCGGTATCCCCAAAGATCTGCAGACCAAAGTGGAGGATCTTCCCTTTGATAAGGATAAACTCTTTTCCAAAACAAACGATGAAGTCCTTCACACTATGAAAGACTCAAGGGCTGCTTTGCGCACACTGGGCATATACCCATCCCTCCCCAAGAGACAACAGTATTAACTTTATCAGAGGCCCCAGGCCCAACAATATCACTGACCCCAGTCCAGACCGTATGATACTGGGAGAAACCGCAACAGACCTCTTAGGTGCAAGCAAAACCATGCGCAACCAACTACTTCCCACCCATTGGGAAACAAACAGCAATTTTGAAGTGCTGGTCGGGGGTCTGCACGACCACCCCTTGACTCCGCTGCCTATTTGCCCATTTGACTACTGCCTCCAGGCTTTCCACCATGTCTGGCAACAGACCACGCAGGACCGCTGGGTCCTGGAAATAATTCAGTCAGGTTATTCCATCCCTTTCCTATCTTCCCCACCCATCCTTCCCCATCCCTCTTCAGCGACCCCTCTCATGAGCACCTCCTCTGTGTAGAGGTGGCTCATCTTCTCCACCTAGATGCAGTGGAACATGTACCAATGCAACATCAGGGAAAAGGGTTCTATTCCCACTACTTTCTGACCCAAAAGAAAAGCGGGGGATGGAGACCTATACTAGACCTACTGAACAAATTTGTATGTGTACAAAAATTCAAGATGGTCACATTGGGCACAATAATACCCATGCTGGAACAAGGGGACTGGTTCACAGCCCTTGACCTACAAGACACCTATTTCCATATATCCATTCATCCAGCACACAGATACTTCCTGCAATTCACACTCAGACACGACCACTTTCAATACAGAGTACTTCCATTCAGTCTCTCCACAGCACCAAGGGTATTCTCCAAGACCCTAGCTGTAGTTGTAGCCCACCTCTGCAAACACGGGATTATACTTTCCCTCTACTTAGACGACTGCCTTATCAAAGCCAACTCCTAGGATGAGCCGTTAAAAGTGACGAACTTTACCATCTCCCTCTTCCACAGTCTAGGCTTACAAATAAATTTCCAAAAATCTACCCTGATATCTACACAGCAGATACCATTCATTGGAGCTCACCTGGACTCAATTCGAACCAGAGCCTCGCTTCCGCACACCAAATTCCTCACTATTACGCATCTCATATGCACAATCTCTGTTTGCTCCAGAATACGGGCATGGAGCTGCCTACAGCTTCTTGATCACATGGCAGCCACCACCTTTGTGGTCAAATATGCCAGGCTGCACATGAGATGCCTTCAGGGTTGGCTCAACTCCAACTACAAACCCAGCAGACACAGTTTCTGCATAACACTGACTCCGCCAGCGAACGTATTGGCCTTCCTACATTGGTGGACAAAACCAGAGAACCTATGCACGGGTGTTCCCTTCCACCCACACTCCCCAGTACTCATGCTCACCACGGACGCTTCCCTGATAGGTTGGGGAGTGCACCTAAGCGAACACAAGGTACAGAGCTGCTGGTCCCTATCAAAGATGTGTCTGCACATCAATCTTCTAGAACTCAGAGCCATCAGGTACGCTTGCCTTCACTTTCTTCCCACCATAAAGAACAAATCCATCCAAGTTCTGACGGACAATATAGCGTATATGTTCTACATCAACAAGCAAGGGAGAGCATGATGTCACTCCCTACGCACAGAAGCCATCCGATTATGGAATTGGTGTATACAACATCACATAGAAATCACCGCTTCCTACCTGCCTGGGTGTAACAACACTACTGCCAACACACTCAGCAGACACTTCTCCAAAGAACATGAATGGGAATTGCACCCCACGATACACCGACAGCTCTTCTCCCACTGGGGCACTCCGTCGATAGATCTGTTTGCTACTCTTCAAAACTGCAAATGCCATCTATTTTGCTCCAGAGTGGGACTCGGGAACGCATCAGTAGGGGATGCATTCCTCATTCCTTGGAACAACTCCCTCATGTATGCTTTTCCTCTGATCCCACTGATACACAGGGTTCTATCAAGATCACAGAGGACAAGGCCCACATCATACTTATTGCCCCAGTTTGACCCAGACAGACATGGTATCCTTACCTGCTACTCATGTCCATCCATCCTTCCAGGACTCTCCCCGACAGGCCAGATCTGCTCTCCCAGAACTGCAGTCGGCTTCTCCATCCGCAGCTCCAGAAACTCCATTTGACGGCTTGGTTCCTTCATGGTTTCAATCCCACAAATTAACCTGCTCGGAACAGGTCCAATACGTCCTCCTGCACAGTAGAAGGGACTCCACTCGTAAGACTTACCTGGAAAAGTGAAAACACTTCTCCATCTGGTGCTTCCACAGACGCCTGACACCCCAGACTGCAACCCTCCCTGACATCTAAGACTACCTTTTTGAACTAAAACAGGATGGGCTTTCGCTCAGTTCTATCAGAGTACACCTCGCGGCCCTTACCACTTTCCATGACATGCTGGACAGCTATTCACTTTTTGCTTACCCCACCATGAAAGGCTTCCTCATGAGCCTGCAAATTCTCTACCCTGAGATTCATTCACCAGTAGCCTCCTGGAATCTTAATCTGGTTCTCCCTGGCCTCATGAAACCTCCTTTCGAGCCTCTGGTTACCTCATCCCTGCTCCATATGTCTATGAAAGTGGCTTTCTTGGTTGCCATAACGTCAACGAGAAGAGTTAGTGAAATAAGTGCCCTGATGGCCTACCCTCCCTACACCATTTCTCCAAAGACAAGGTTACTATGCGACCCCACCCCAAATTCTTCCCCTAAGTGGTGTCTACCTTCCACCTTAACCAGCCAATACACTTACCTGTATTCTATCCCAAGCCTCACATGAATCCACAGGAAGCGGCATTACATACCCTCAATGTCCGATGGGCTCTTGCATTCTATCTTGATAGAACTAAACCATTTTGTAAATCCCCTAGGCTATTTGTTTCCACTACCGAGAGATCAAAGGGTGATGCTCTCTCTAAGCAAAGACTCTCCAAGTGGATCTCGGACTGCATCAGATCCTGCTACCAGACCCAGAATGTTCAACCACCAGAGAGTGTCAGAACTCATTCTACTAGAGCAATGTCTTCATCCGTAGCCTTCCTCCACAATGTACCTATTACAGATATAAGCAAGGCAGCCACATGGACATCTGACCACACGTTTGCCAAACATTATGCTATCACACGGGATACCATGGTAGACACCATAGTTGGCCATACGGTACTGTCTACTGTCATTACTGCCACAACTCCAAAATCCCACCAACCATAGTGGGTACTGCTTCACATTCACCTGGAGTGGAGCACCCACAGGGACAGTACTCAAAGAAGAAGAGAAAATTACTCACTTTGCAGTAACTGAGGTTCTTCAAGATGTGTGTCCCTGTGGGTGCTCCACTACCCACCTTCCTTCCCTCTACTTTGGAGTACTAGTCTGACTTCTCCACGGTAGAGAAGGGCGTCCAGCACATCCCTCAGCCCGCGCCACTTCCCGCAGTCCCCATTGGCCTGGAGAGGTGAACCGTGGCCACTGGGAGCCGCAATCGGCCGAACCTGCGGATGCAGCAAGTAAATAAACCGGCCTGGCCTGCCAGGGGCTTTCCCTGAACAAGCGGTGGACTGGCTTTGAGAACCACTGGTCTAGAAAATAGGGGACCTTATGTAGCAACCTCTATTAATGACCAGCAATTGGTTTCTGAAGATTCCTAAAGTGGACAGTTTTTTTAAATCTGCAGGTTCTGTATTTTCTGCAGCTCTAAAGGAGAGACAGCAGCGAAATATAAAGTACATATCACAAAACAAAGCATGCTGTTTTATCATAACCAATGCAGCTAACACTCATAACAAATAGTATGTGATAACTCCATTAGAAAATACTTTCTAATAACTATACAGTTAATTTATGCCATTAGTGTAATTCTCAGATATATTTCAGTCCACAATTTTCTACCAGTGGTTGTAGCTTGAAGAATAAGCAACATATTATACTTCTTAGATGTCTTAAAAAAAAAAGAAAAGAAAAGAAACAGCAATTGAGCTATTGTGTTCCAAACACATTTCTAAAGTGTAACTTTTTTTTTGCTTCTTGATAACCAGTGTGGGGGATCAGAAGCACAGTTTGTGACTGGTTGGGAGGTTTAACTTCAGTGTTACCCACCAGCTTGGGAGTATCTGCTCTCCCTTTTGCAGCCTGCCCTGACCTTGGCAGGTCCAGTGAGGGCCACCCCGGGCCTCCCCGGTCACAGGGCAGAAGTCAGTTCGGAGAGTGTCAAGTATCAAGTTCAAGTATCGGGGATAGCCGTGTTAGTCTATATCCACAAAAACAACAAGGAGTCCAGTGGCACTTTAAAGACTAACAGATTTATTTGGACATAAGCTTTCGTGGGTAAAAAAACTTACATTTGCATCTGGAGAAATGAGGTTTTTTACCCACGAAAGCTTATGCCCAAATAAATCTGTTAGTCTTTAAGATCCTGTTCAAGTCTGTCCCCACCCAACACTGAGATCCTAGGAGCATCCTCAAGGAGCTGCTGAGTCTCAGATGGCCACGCAGGCTGTGTCACAGAGCAAATCACAGCAAAGTTCGCTCTGAAGGCAACAGAAACAGCCTTGAGCTGTTTTCCTCTACCTTAGTGCAACCATTGCACTGAACATGGTTCAGCCCTTTTGCAAATATGCCATAGTGACCACAAGGTGTCAGTGTAATCTAAGAAGACAAGCTACTGTTCTAGTATTTGAAAAACTGCTGAACTGTAACCTCTTGAATCATAGGAAGATATTGAATGAGAGGTCACTGAAAAGAGAGATATAGCACGTGCTACGTACATAGTATGGGTTAGTTTAAGGATTTGAGGAGTTATTGCTTTGATCTTGAATCAAGGTACTAATATGAAAAATAAGTAAAAACTAGGTTAGAATATAGTGTATTTCTACTACACAGGATATAGAACAACATTGTATATCAAAAGTGCTCAAATATTGCCCCACCAAGGGCTGCAGTAACATACCTAAATTCTCACATAAAATAAAACCGAGCAGATTGCACTTGCCTTCATCTTTAACAGGGAAGGGCAGCCAAGTGAGACTACAGGTTCCTTCATTCTCCTGTGAGGAGCTGGATCCTCTTGTAGAAAGGTGCAGTTGTGTTAGCCCCACAGGTCAGAACTTGGCTGCCTCTGGTGTCAGTCTATGAACAAAACACAAATTCCAGAATCTGTATAATGGGTTCTGATGAATATAAGATATATTTAAAAAAAACTTTTTAGAGAACAAACAGTGAGTACCATTGAGAATTTGGAACAAATGTCTCTTATCTCTCAGAACCTTCTCCAAATGAAAGATTAGACAGAGGTCTTATCAGCAGGCTTTGTTGTGGTTATTCATTTGGACTCAGTTACTATGGTGTAGCTGCCATGCCTGTCTGCATCCAGTCACTTGCTAATAAATGTGCAATTCATTGCTTCTAAATTGCTTTGTGACTTTCCATAAACAGTCTCTAATTTTGTCTTGAAACAAAAGGTACCTAAAAGCAAAATAAAAGAACTTTCATTTGTGTTCTGCTTATTAAAAACCCATCTACAATAGCTGCACCTAAAATGTTTCTACTAGCTTCTACCAGTTTGATGGAATTTCTTATACACCTAAGGGGAACACTGTTAGAATGTACTAAATTTTTCTTATTAAGTAATAATTACTGATATACAAACAAATATTAAGTTATAAAGAACTCTATTCTCTAGCTTTATCTGCCTATATTACTACACAGTATTTATACAGGAAACATAAGGTTATTACCATAAGAGGCGTACAGTCAAAGAGTTTGTCTACATAGAAAGTATTGCCACTTGAATTATACCAGTTTAGGTAAAGCAGTGAGCCTCCCATAGTGTGGGTGTAGTTATACTGGTATAAAAGTGCTTATACTGGTATAGTTTATTCTAGGCCATGTCTATGCCACAGAGCCGTGGCCAATATAACGATGCCAGCAGAGCCCCCTAGTGTAGATGAAGTATAAGCAGGCAGATGGAGTTCTGCCAGCATAGCTACACCACCTCCCTAAGGACAATAGCTCAGCCAGCAAAACTTCATAGTATAGACCAGGCCCCTGTTCGGGAATTGAAATAAACTATATATTGTAAGGTACCTTTATGCTGTTATAACTGCATCAAGTGTCCGCACTAGGATTTATACCAGCATAACTGCTGGATTTTAAAAAAATCACACTCCTAGCAGACAGTAATGCCAGTGTCTCTGTAGAATAGACTGCTCTAAGAGTCTGCCCCTGCATCCCTTACTCATATGAACAACCCTGTTGTCTCCACCCCTAACTCATTTTCCAATACTTTGTAATATTACTAATGAAATGTCTGCATTTTCTCTTCATGCCTTCTTCATGTCTCCCTTTCCACCCTAAAGTTGTCCCTTTTGTTGTTCTCTTTATCTAATTTGAGTCCTGGTCCCATTGAGACGATGCAGTGGTAATAATGCCTGTACCCGATCTACACTAGTAGTTTGACTAGTGCAAGTGCTGGTGCATTTCCACCACTGTTAGATCTCTAGTGGGAGAGTAACTGAAAATTTTCAGTGGAGATGAAGCCATACAGTGAAGAATTTAGGAACTGCTTGAGAGTCTAGAGGATGTTCTGCTCAAAGATGATATTGAAATAGTGACTGCAGTGAAAGAACTTTTTGCTCATTGGCTGCATCTTGGTATGGGTATGTGGTAGACACAGAGGAGGAAAGGAGAGATTTCCATTCAGTGACACCATGCTGAGAACGTAGTAAAGCAACCCTTATAAAACCATGTAAGCTTGTCCATGGTGCAGCTTACACCATTACTACCACCAGGTTGTGAATTACACTTACAAATTTACTAGTCTAGACAAAACCCAAGATGAAACTGATGGAAAAATCCAGTGCAATTCATTCAGAGGCAGCCACAAAAATAAGACAATCTAGCATGCTTCATTAACTCTTACAGAGACAAGGTGAGTGAGGTAATATCTTTTATTGGACCAAATTCAGTTGGTGAGAGAGACAAGCTTTTGAACTACACAGAGCATTTCAGGTCCTTTTAAGCTTGAAAGTTCATCTCTCACCAACTGAAGTTGGTCCAACAAAAGATATTACTTCACCAACCTTGTCTCTGTAATATCCTTTGAACAGCACAGCTGCAACACTGCCTCCGTTAACTCTTGGCATATCAGATGTCACAAATAGATAATTTAATCCAATAGGTGCAGATAGCTATTTCAC